AAAATAATATTTAATTTGATATCACATCACCGAGATTCACATGTTTTTTTCTATTTTTATCCAACTATAACCAAACATGAAATAAGATAAATATATATCATATTTGTATCCAATACCAAAAACTCAATTATGATCTTACCAAAACAACCCAATCCTAAATTATAAAACTTAACAAACCGCCCAGTAAGGCCTTGAGCTTAATGATAGTTTATTTTGGGAAAATTTATAAGTCGGCCCCTTTTTGTAGACTTACTTAGTAATAAGTCCATCAAAAAAATTTATTTAATATTAAATCCACTTTGATATTCATTGTCCAAAATACCCCTATTAGTTACTTAGCATTTAAATTCAAGAGGATAGTTATTCCAGAAGGATTGATCTCTAATAATAACCCCTCACAGGGGGTACTTGAGAATATGTATTAGTTTGTCTCTTGGCTTTAGAATATTCAATTTTATTTATTTCTTCGGACTGCATTTGGTGTAAAAAATCTTCAAATTGTTGTATTTCAGTTTCAAATTTCTCTACACTTTATGTCTGAGAAATTACATTTAATGATAAATTTTTTAATTTATTTTTAAGTTTGTTTATGAATTCATCTTCAACTTTATTATGAAGATTAAACGTTGATGTGTCAACTGGTGGTTTAATATTAACCGTTTCAATTTCAACCGATTTTTCTTTTAAAAATGGAGAAGACAAAACTTCTTGTTTTTGTTCTTTTATTAAATTCTGAATTCTACTCAAATGTTGTCCTACCACTTGTAGAAAAACATTGGTGTAATTATTTTGTTTGATAGAGATATTCTTTCCTATATCATTAGTGTCTTTTAGCAAATAACAAGGATTCATTATTATTTCAACTAACTCATTTGAATTTGAAACTATCCAATATTTTTCATTTATGTTGAAATTTTTTGATCACATTTAATTGATCCATTGTGGGTAGAGCATAATAGGTTAAAAACCATTTAACAAAAAGAATTATCTTTTTTTCCCATTCTATATATAAGTAAAACATTTCTTTATATCTTTTAAGACTCTCTTGGTTCATAGTCTTAAAATGCCAAGTTTTAAATTCTTCATATTTAGAAAGATAAAATTCTTCATTAATTTGTTTTTTATTTATTATAAATTCTTTTAGATTTAAATCTATAAAAATTTATAGTTAAAATCTGATTTCAAATAGAGTTGGATCTTGATCTTCCTTTAAGGAAGATTTATTATCTTGTCTATATACTCCATGTGAAATATGATTATGTGAGGTTCTAACTCCCTCAATTATAGGTTTTTCCCCCTTCTTCTATCTGGTATAGAAGAAATGGATCTCCTACTAGGAGTATAGACTGCTGAAGTGCTTGACTTATTGAAAATTTTTAATCGCGAAAAATTATTTCTAGCAAATCTTATCATTACATCACCCTGAGATGATTGTACTATGTGTGTTACTTTTTCATTTATTTCTAATTTTTTAGGAATCACAGATTCTAATTGTCATGTTTCTAAAAATTGGATTTCTGACAATTTAATAGTTTTAAGAATTTCAAATTTATTTTTAATCATATTGGTTTCAATTAAAGTAGTTTGACCTTTATGGTTATGTAGTTTAGCTTCTGGAGATAGAGTATTCATTACTTTATAATATACTCTATAAGTAAAAATCATTATATATGTTCCTATTAAAACTTATGGATATAATTTTAAGGAATAGATATAATGACTTTTACCTAGAGAGTATATTATAAAGTAATGAGTATTCTATCTCCAGAAGCTAAACTACATAT